CTCAGCCCAGTGCGAGCTCCAGCTGCAGGGGGAGCGGGAGGAGGAATTCTGGACATGGAAAGCTGCTGGATTCTCTCCAGGGCAGAGCCAGAGAAGGAGGGGCTGGTGCATCCCCAAGGACCAGAGCTCTCCAGAGTGCCTGGGATGGCTGCTGGGAGGAGCTGGCTCCAACTGCCATTCACTCTGCTTGGAGAGTCAGGTCCGTGACTGGGGCTGTGCCCGGGGCACTGGGAGGGCTGAGCTCAGCCCGCTTCCCGAGGAAACCTGTTGGAAAATCTGATTCCTACAGCCCATGCCAAGAGGGAATGCACAGGATTGGGCCCTGCTCCTCTGCTCCTGCCTTCAGAGGCAGCTCCCCCTGCCTGGAATCCCCTTCCTGCCCTGGGAATGGATCTTCTGTGAGCCCAAGGCCTTTGCTGCTCCATGTCTGCATTTCCCCGTCCGGGTGTCTGGCCAGGGCTGAAATTTTTGCCTAAAAAAAGGGATTAGGAGGGATCTGGCAGCCTTGTCCTGTCAGAAGCCTGCTGTGGTTGAACTGGGCACCGTTGCAGGTGGCAGGATGGATCCTGCCCAGAGCTGTGGCATTCCCAGTGCTCCCAGTGGAAGCTGCTCCGTTTCCATCGCTCTGCCCCTTCTCGGGGCTGGGGAGGTGTGGGGGTCTCAGAGGTGGCTGAACTCCTGCATTCCCCCTCTGGAGCCAGGCATGGAGCAGCAGGAGCCCCCTGGGCCTCCCAGTGCCTCTGCCCTCCCTGGAGCCTGGAATTCTGTACAGTATCCTTAGGGACAGTGTATATTCTGTACATAGTCCGTGTGTGTCCGTGCACAGCTCTGGGGGCCCTGCTGGCCCCAAACACTCTGTAAAGTAGAAAATATTAGTTTAAAAAAAAACAAACCTGAAGCCAAGCTGGGTCCTGGTTTGGAGTCTCTGGAGTTTATTTGGTTTGGGATGGGCTGTCCCTGCTGTGGGGTTTGGTCACTCCTGGTTCACAGCACCCGGCCTGGTGTGTGTCCCTCTGCCCTTCCCGGGGCAGGGAATCATGGAAGCATTTGGGTTGGAAAATCCCCTGAGCCCGGGGAGTCCAACCCTCCCCCAGCACTGCCAAGGCCACCACTGCCCCATGTCCCCAAGTGCCACATCCACAGGGCTCTGAAATCCCTCCAGGGATGGGGCCTCCATCATCATCCTGTAGCTGTTCCTCAGCAGCCCAAATCTCCTCCTCCTGGCATTATCCCTCTCAATGATGTATTTTTAGTTTTGCATTTCTCCCAAACCTCATCTCCTGCAAACTCATTATCATGGAATCCCACACTGGTTTGGGTGGGAAGGGACCTCAAAGCCCATCCAGT